AGTTAAAAATTAGGTCCGATAATGAAATTTCGGTTGTATTATACGGAAAGCTAATTCCTTGTTTTCGTGTAGAGTGTTAGAAGGAGCCGCGATCGGAGAATCGCGCCGTGCAAATTGCTGCGCGAGAGGGTTGGAATAATCAGCACACCAATCGTACTTTGTAACGTGATATTTTCTTATTATAACATCTGCAAAAAAGACCAGTCGCGTTACATCTACAACTCGTACATACCGCCGTTTATGCGTCTCGACATTGGTTACATCGTCAGTAATGCTTTTATTACTCATCTCGTAGCGGTGTCCTACGCGTCGCGCTACGATACAATATATATATATTTATTTATATATATATATATTTATTTATTTATTTATTTATATTTATATATTTATATTTCTTTGCAATTCATTTATATATATGTTCATATATCTTCATATTTATATATTTATATGTATTTATATATTTATATATTAATTATTTACACGCGTCTTTTTTTTTTATACAAAAATGTTCACGACTTTATACATAGCTATGTATAGTAGAACGTCACTCGCGCCCCGACGTGTGCGCACACGCGTTCGCAATCGGTATTATAATACATTTTTGAGTTTCGTGAGCAATCGCATCATGTCGTCGATGAGCAGCCTCGAGGAGGATCCACGAGTCGAGAGAACGCGCGACGTTGATGTAGAATCGAGAGAGAGCGTGTCGACAAGGGATATGTGTTGCGCTTACGTTTCGTTATACGGACAGAGTAGCAGTGGCGGCTCGAGTCGGGTGGAAAAACGAGGACCGTGCGTTCCCGGATAATTGTCTCGCGACGACGTGAAGCTTTTCGGCTTTCCCGGCGGGCGATGCCGCCCGTAGATTCTCTAAGCATTTTTTAAGTACTCGATGACGATCATCCTTCTCTCCGGATCCGAGTCCCGGCGTCTTCCCGAAGACGCGTCGCTTGCGATCCGGCCGCGACACCGTTAACTGGATCCCGCTCGAGGTAAGCCAATCGCAGAATCTCTCCTATTAAGGAACGACCGCTGCTTAAAAATATTAGAAATATCCCATATACCCCTAAGTGCTCCACTAACAAGAGACATTCGGCAATGAGTAAATTCAAAACTACCTGGAACTTTACGGAATCATAGAACAGGCAACTTAACGAAATCATTTTTCGCTAGTGCACAAAATTGGTTTTAGGGGTGAAAACGGCTTTTGGGAAGAAAAGGCGGTTCTTATATTTCCAAGCAAAGATCATCTAAATTATTAGAGATACGAAGAAATATTTTCAAGAAAAGTTTCACAGCTTATAATGATAGCACTTTATAATGACATATTTAGATCTTTCGAAAATTTTACAGTTTTCGAAATTCCCCCACCCCTCACATTTTTTTACTAATATTTGAAATTTATTTTACAGCAAAGTTTATTTTATGCCAAACTCAGCTACACATAATAAAGTTACATTTTAAAAACGTATTTTTGAGAAATAAATTGAAGATATTCTTATACGTATGCTATCCGTACCGGTCTTACACACTCGCTACTTAACGCGACGGCCTTTCTTTCTTTTTCTCTATAATTTCTTGTAATAAATAAGGATGTAGGCAGATATTTGGAAAATCAGTTTCAGATGTTTATCAATTTACGCGTTGTCGAATGTCCTTTGAAAGTAGCTCGACATTGCCACATTTACTATAACGTAGTATATTCAAATATCTCCTCTTAATATCATTAAACAACCCTATACAACTCGCGCCGAGTCAGTGTTTGTATATGTATACATGTATGCATGTATATGTATACATGTATGCATGTATGAGTATAGATGTAGGTGTTTGTGTATGTGTGTGTGTGTTTCCGTGTGTATATATTGTACAATATTTATAAGATAGAAAAAGCACCGTCTCGAAAAATCGGGTTTCAATTTTGACGTATATATATCACATTATTTTGCGACCTCTCACTTTCATACTTTCTTTCTTCCTCTCTCTTTCCCCAATTTCTTTCACTTCCATACACACACCACATACATGTACACGTATATTCTCCTCTACGCTTATTTTCTCGCACGCAAATACACCGCATACGCATTATTACGCACACGCATACGCACCATTTCGCCGCACCGTCCTCACTTTCTCGCATATTCGCAGCTACCCTATCTTTATATGTCTCTCTTACGTCGACTCATCGGAGACCCAGCGACGAACAATATCGAATATTCTTCATATTTCAATCAAAAATATACCTCAATATATGTATATATATATATATATATGTGTATATATATATATATGTCTCGTAGCGTTGCATCTCGACTTGGACCCGTTACATCCCGAGCTCGTATTTCTTCTGTCGAGAAGTACGTCAAGTCCCGGAATTGTAATTGTCTGTAATTTTTTTTCCAAGCGCAATCTTCGAAGGAAAATTTACAAATTATTGTTGTTTCATCATCGATACGATATTCCGCGTTGCGTTAATTTTTCCCATGAGAACGTAGAACGCATAGAAGCTGGCAGGAGGCATAAAATAGAAACGTTTATCTTCAGAGTTTTTATTAATTATTATAAATAACAAAACACATATTGCAAGCGGGAGGGACGTAACGGGCCAAGTTATCGGCCTCCTCTGCAATCCTAACGAGTCATCAGGATCGTCGTTTTTTTTTTCGCTATTGACAAATTTGCGAACGTAGTTAACTAACGTGACGCGCGATCTTGCGCGCGAAAATGCTCGGACAAATTCGCGATTTCGACCGGAATATTTTCGGATAATCTCGAACTTACCTTCGCTTCGGCGTGTTTCCTCCGGACGTCGTCGTGGCGACGTTGTCGCAAATCCGCCGCCGAATCTTACGAATTTTGGCCGACCGGACTGTGATCCCTGCGAAATGAATCGGTGACGATGACGTAACGCGCGCAATGGCACTGGCATACGAGAGAGAAGACGTCGTATCGCGCTCGATCGTGTGTCGCCACGTTCGCTCTTAAGTAACCCAAAGTAAAAATATCATATTTACAAGATATACGTGTAATATCTCGGCTGATATCGCGCGGTATTGTCATCCAAGTTGAACATCGCGTGTGTGGGATTTCTTCGCAACGCTTCTTCTCCCCCGAAGAGAGTGAGAGAGAAAGAGAGAAAAAGAAAGAGAGAGAGAGAGAGAGAGAGAGAAAGAGAGATAGAGAGAAAACCGCTTCCCGAGAAGATATCGTCGTGTATGTCGTCGGGCGAGACGATTCGGCAGAATCATCGCTGTAATCCCTAATACGTTAAGTAAAAACGCGATCGCTTCGCATCTTTAAGCGCTATTTTCGCACGAAAGCCGCCATATGTGTACGATACCGCCGCGGAAACGCAAAGAGGATCGATTCGCTTTCGCGCGATTTCACGAGTTCCTCTCGTGTGGTTTCACGTCGATCGCAATGCTCCTCACTTCACACCACTAGTTACAACGAACACTCTCTTTCCCCCTCCCTTTTTTCTTCTTACAACGATATATATATATATATATATAAGGTCGCCTCGCTAAAATACCGGATGTGCCGATGAAGCCCGACTCTTCGTTCTTCTCTATCTATAAGTACTATATATATATATATATATACATATATATGTATATATATAAAATTTGTACAATATACATTTATACTTTTAAATATGTATATATAGACAAACTTCGACAAACGACTACGTCGCACAGCGTGGTCTTTACAAGAGATTCCATCCTTAAGACTAAAATGAAGGTAAACGGGATGAAAAACGATGTAAATTCAACGAATCTTAACGATTAATAGAACGTGGTGGACGAGAAAATGCGGGAGCGCGAAGCGACGCGGAGAAAAGAGACGGGCAATCCTCTATCGGCCGCGTCTCTTGTTGCAATTATCTCGGCATGTCGAAGTGAGCGTGTGCTAATTACAAAAAAGAGAACAAAAAGGAGAAGAACGAACTTGCACCAATCCGCAAGAACAAAAGAAAAAAAACAAATTACAGGAATAATTTAAAAGACACGCTCTTCAGTTTAAAACAACAAAGACTAAGATCACATCCGAGGTCGCCGGAAAAATCCCTAACGCGATGATTCAAGAGCTAAGTTAGTCGATCTGCGCGGGGAGACGNGGGGGGGGGGGCTCGCAGTCGAAAGTCACAGAAAAGTTGGACGAGGAACGAACGTCGGAGTGATTTAGATCCGCGATTCGCGTGCGGGAGCGTCGAAGCAGCGTCTCGCCTCGTCGTCCCGGTCGAAAGGGATATTTCCGAAAGAATGTACACCACTACGGGCCGCGGACTCTCGGAGAACGCAGGCTCGTAGAAGAGGCGTCAAGACGAATGACTAAGGCCCATGGCATGACTCGACTAATAGCGAGTACTCGGCGCGAAGATTGATTCGAGATAGCGATGGGAGATCCACCGGCTCTCCCCCGTCGTTGTATGTGTATATGTGTGCATGTGTGTGTATGTGTGTGATTATAAATGCTAATTTATGACTTCTTCACGCCACGCTCGTCCTCCCCCCACCTCCTCCTCCTTGACCTCCCTTCCACCCTCTTTCTCTTCATCCGCCTCTCCCCCTGTTTCATTCTTCGGCCAAGATACAACAAAACGCTTATCTATCTATCTATTACCCCTTCGACCCCCCCTCTCTCTCTCTCCCTCTCTAACATTCTAGCTCATTCGCTCGCTTTCTTTCGCTCTTTCGCTCACGTAACATACGTACACGCACGCTCGCACTCACACACGCGAACACAACTGACAAGCCCCTCGCACGCACAATCTCTCCCTCCCTCCCCCCTCTTTCTCTATCTCTCTCTCTCTCTCTCGCTCGCTCGCTCGCTCGACCACTTTAGCGAGTACCAAGTTTTAACGCCCAGTGGATGTTCCTGGACGCGCTGTCGGGCCACTTGGCGCCTCCGCGATTCTCTGAATGAGCAACGTCTTTATTACGTCTTTTCTTCTCGCTCCCTCCCTATCCCTCCTTTCCTCCCTCCCTCCCTCCCTCACATTCTCTCTCTCTCTCTCTCTCTTCCCGCCCTGTCTTACCCCGCTCGCCGAGATTCCTCCCCGTCGTTCGATGAACAAGACGACGTCTCCTCCGCACGCCCACTTTTCTCTCCGCTTCGCGCGCATTATCCTATCACCCTCGGTCGAACTCCGTTAATGACCGTGCTTAATTCTTCCTCTCGCGAGTCTTCCCCCCCCCTTCCCCCTCTCCCTCATCCGTATCCCGTCGTACGTCTCTTCCTTCTTCGGTCCTGCGATCTTCGCGTGCGTCGGTGCGTCCTCTTCCTCTTCGTGATGTCGAATCGCGGCCATCTCGGCGCAGAAACCTCGAGTTCCGACTAAAATCCTGATTTCCGTCGCGAGTCCCACCACCGGCCCCGACGTCTCAACGTCTCCGGAAACGAGGTCCCTCGGAGAGGAACTCACCGGGTCGGTTCGGTTGCGTCGCGTCACGGCACGACACGGCGGCGAAAGTCGGAGCGACGGGGCCACGTAACCGGGCTAACAACGACGGAAACGGCATTCGTCCGGGACGAAGTGCGCTTCCGACGTCGCCTCTTGGACGAGGAACTTGGCGGACGACCACGGCGACGTCAATGTGTCGTCCACGCGTCCGTCCCCTTCGCCGTATCCGCGAGCTTCTCTCTCTCTCTCATTTTCTCTCGTGCTTTCTCTCCCTCTCTCTATTGATGAGCGAGTCCGGGCCGCGGCGAGCCGAGGTCCGCGACGTCGCCCCAGGTATAATGACAGTATTATGCGGAAGCCAGCTGCCGCCAGACAGAGTGTCACATCGTGGACATGTAGGGCCAGTTGAAGCTGCTGCCGCTCAACAGCATGTCCCTGATGAGCGTCTCGATCGGCGTCTTGCCCACCAGCCGCACGAAGAAGAGCTGCTCGATCACCTGCGACGAGACCGTCCTCAGCGACGGCAGTCGTAGCAGCAGCTTGCCGAACCTCGTCGGCTGGTTCGGGTACTGCGACCGGCAGTACTCCTCCAGGGCGCACTGCGACTTCTCCTGGAGGGACTCGATGTGCCCCACGTCCGAGAGACCGCAGGCGTCTGTAACAGAAAGCAGACAGGGGGATGTTTAGATCGTCGGCTCGGTGTGGGGGATTTCAACACGCGTTTGANTTTTTTTTGGGGGGGGGGGGGGTGATCTTTCGGTTAAAACGGGTAAAAAAATTCATTCTATATAAATTGGAAATGGAAAATCATTCGAATTTGGATAATTCAGCTGCCATACCGCTTTTCGAATGATGTTTCACTCCAGGAAACTTAGAAAGTATCGATAAAGATATCGACACGTTTCTTCGCGTCTCGGTTGTAATCTCCTCCTCGTGCCGCGAAGGAACGAGGCACCGTACACGTTAGAAAGTCTCTCTTTCTGTCTTCCTCCATCTCTCTTCCACTCTTAATTTTTACGCCGCGAACGATCTTCGTTAGGCGGAGCGTATCTCTCGAGGCGCGGAAGGCGATAACTGTTGCCGTTTAATCTACGTGCTAGGAAGAAGCACCTACGCTTTATTATCGGGCTAATTATCGTTGTTGCCCATTAGCCAAGGCATGATTAGCGAGGCGGAGAGTTCCTCTCTAGCGATCTCGAATAGAACGAACGGCCGGGAGGCGCCGAGGCAGAGGGGCAGACGAAGGGAAAAAGAAGAGATTAAACGCCGGCCTATCGCCGGCGATGACGAACAGCGAGAGCGATCGAACGAGTGGAAATCGAGCTTGCGGAAGTGCTCTCGCGAAGGCAAATCGCGGGATGCCGCTCTTAATCCGCTGCATATCGAGATGAGGAGCGCCGACTCCCGAACTTGACTGCTCAATCTCGCGCAGTTCATCTCTCCGACGTCAACCGATGTGTATCTTAATACATCGACGTACGTCGCAAATAAAATGTATAAATACGTTATAAGTTAAATTACATTTAAATTTGATTTAATTTAAATCCAATTATACGACTTGTATATACATTGAATGTGAAATTTTTCATATTTATCGGCTCTGTGAGAGAATTTAACCGAAGCAAGAAAGTTGAGCTGAGTTTCTAAGAAGGGAGAAACCAATTTTATTTCTCCGTTGTTAAATTAAATCGTATCGCCAAATAATTAGCGAATGGCTCTTGTTAACTCATTTTTCTCGCTTCCGTTAAATTAAATTAAATAAGAAACATATTATAAATTAATATCAGTTAGAAATATATATATATATATATATATATATATATATAACGCGAGAGGAAATTTTAGTTTTTCTCAATATTAGAGTTTCACGTGCGATCACACACACACACACACATGTTTGTGTTCGCGTGGACTACGGAGCCGCTCTAGACTCGGTTGCGCTACAGGTGTGACTCGTTGTCATACCGACGCAAGGGTTAAGCCTCTCATGGGGTTGCAGCGAAAGCTGCCCTCGGGCAAATGAAACCGAGATCCGCGAATGCACGTGCCAACCGCGCGCAGACGCTGCCAGTGCGAATGTCGGGACTAATCACCCGGGCCATCTGCTCGCCTCGCCGTTAGCCGTGATACCGCGCGCCATTGTCTCTCGCGGAAAAGCCGGGTTCCTTGTTCGCACGGGAAAGAGAAACGGTGTGCGTGTGCACAGGCATATATCCGATGTGTACTCGAGTAATGTTCCTCCGTGCCCACGTATTTCCGTAAGTACGCGGAAATTTATTCACAGAGGACGCGAGGTCTCCACAATATTTTAATACCACGTTACGATTGTGTTATTTCATGTCCCAATTATTTTTTTATAAATGCTCGATATTTTATACATCACGATATTACTATTTAGGGGGGGGAGGGATATTAAGATGATATCAGATTAATTGATTGTATGTAAAATTATTTTATATATAATTAATTAATGATACATGATTGTATAAGAATAATCGATTATATAAATATAAAGAATAATCGATGTATATAAAATTATGTCGTGATCAATATATTAATATTGTGCTAACACACAATATTATCGCTTCACATTTCGCAACGTTTCATTTACGCCTGAGAGCGGAGATCTCCGAATTACGTGGATCGGTCATTAGCGTCTCGTGACATTTTCTCATGTTGCGCAACGCACGTCACGCATACCGCGACGTCAGCCGGCTTCGTTAGCGCGCTTTTCCGTGAAACGGGAGTTGCATGTCGCGGTCGACTACGACGAATCGCTTTATCGAGAGGCGTGCGCGCGTGCGTGAAGAATCGGGGGTAGCTGTCGGCGCGCATAAATCGCGCGGGGATGATCGAGAAGCGGGCGCGCCGAGGGTGTCGGGGGTTCTTTTTGCGACTGCGAACAGGACGACACCGTGGTTGTTGTTTCGCGTGAACTTCTCACCCGCCACGCGGCGCCCACATAAACGCGCCACGGATGCGGATTCCTTTGTCGTAGGGCCCACGTGCGCGTAATGGGCCATTACGCGTACGCGGAGAAATAACGCGATTCGCATTTGCATCTCTGAACAAACGACGTCCGACGGGTGGCGGCGGCGACGCGGAAACCGCGGAGAACTCGCCGGTTATTCGGGCAATCGCGATCAGAGCACGCTGCGATTGTCAAGTAGAGGCACGACTAATTAATTAGTAATTAATTACTTCTTTCCGATCATTTATCAAATAAATATAATATAATTCAGGAATATCTCTTGATTCACATAATGTAAAGATAATAATTTCAATGGATCACAAAATGTCGTTATATAACATTATAGTCGTGTCAGGCCTTAACTATATCTTCCGCCAGTTTTAATCTGAGGATATAGCAGTAGTAATAATAGCATGTAAGATTATCATCGTCGACATTATGGTATTAGTTATTAGAAAAATGGTTTCTCGTTACTGTGATTATCTTATTTACGCGATTAGAATTGCAAATATACCAAAAAGATTTTTTTCTTAATGATCACGCTATTTAAACAATTTCATACGAGATGGGATGGAAAAATACCGATAAAGTATCTTCACCGTTCGATGCGGATAAAGCACGTCGCACTTGGCGAGTGCGCTCATCTCGCCCTGCGACGCACGTTACGCCTAAACGCATTTATTCGCTTCGCCATTTTCGCTTGCGACACGCTCGCGCTCCATTGCTGCGCTCAAGAAAATTTGCGTCTTGCGAGAACTCGAGAAAGAGAGAGAAAGGGATAGGGAGAAAAAAGAGACTCTACTCATTGCAGCCTGTGCGTTTCAAGGAACACCGTCGTTAACGCAGGTGCTAATTCGCGCGGCCTGTGTAAATAAGTCCGAGCCGTTTCCCGAGCGAAAATGAATTTTCACGCTATTATTAGCTGCGAATACGAGCGACGCGAAAGTCGGGCCGGCGCTTTTCCGTCGCAGTGTCGACGTCGAGGATCGACAGGCGACGTTTCATTGTTGACGCGCGAACACCTTGTGAGGCGCGAGGAGGAATCATTGCGAGGGCCTTCGGGCGACCGCGTAATTATAATCTCCTCGGTGAGAGATCCCCCCTCCACACGGAGACTCGTAAAACGATCCTCGTTCAGCGCGCTTTTTTTTTTCTCCTCTCCCTGACCGAACGAACGAGAACCGAGAGAGTGATATATTCCGAGCGCATCACCGCCGGGCAGCCAGCTCGCGGTCGAGCGCGCGCGCGGCCTCGTAATGATCCTCGACACAGGTGACTTAACACGCAGAACCACACCGTTATCTCGATTTGGTCGAATCAATCGCCGATGGGGGTAAAAAGAAGACGAGGTTCCCCCGGCGTCGTGATCCTCGGGCCTAGGATCGCGGTGCGAAACGTGAAACGCGTCTCCCGTAAATCGCACTCCCGAGTCGAGACTTTGTTCCTATGTTCAATATTTAATTTAACAACGCAGCAGGAGCTAAGATAGCGAAATAGGTTCAATTTCAATTCTGACGATATAATTTACTCCCGCATTGCAAAAATAATAGTAGCTGTATGCGTGTAAAGTTATTATCACCGACATTATGGTGACACCTGCCGGAAAAATGATTCTCCTTACTATAACTTATTAACGATCCCATCGGTGAAGTCCTTCCCTTTATTGAATAAAATCACTCGATTAATATATAATTTTTCTGTTTTCAATCCCCGATCTTCGCTCACAATCCATGACACGGATAAGAATAGTTCTGAGGCCTCTAGGAAATGAGGACAGACCGATGGCTCAATGAAAAATGTTCGTGAAACAATTACGGTTCTTAATGGGTTAACATCTCCCCGTCTCGACGTCTGCGTGTAAAAGCAATCAAAGGGCTGCCAATCATTCGGTGCGCACCGATTACGCGGATCCCATCGTCGAAATTCGAGCGCGATCAGTCGCGTGCTCTCTCGTATCAGTACCGATCGACTCAATTAAACGGGAGACCGCGAGGAATCCGCCAACGCGCGGCCAATAAACAAACCGTCGGATTGGTTCTGTGCGATGTCGTCAGCGCCAATTCACCGCATCAGTTCGAATAATACCGTTGAGTGGCGTCTCTGGTTTCCTCCTCGTGTCGTGTCGTCCCTCATTTCTCTCCCCCTCGCGCTCTTTCTCGCTGTATCTCTCCCCCCCTCTCTCTCTCTCTCACTCTTTGCATGCATGTTAACCGCTAAATGCCGTGGCGCCTCGTTGACCGAGCACCACCATAAATTGACCAATCTTCAGCAGTGGGATCCCACTAGGGCCCGTCGCTGTCTTACACGCTGTCGCCGGAGACACACCCCCTCGGGGGCCCCCCTGTGTGCCCCCCGACGGATCCAATCGATCGAAATCCGACGGCCGGCGATTTATCGACGTTACGCGCGTCGTGTAGCGACATTGAATCAATTATGGGTAGATATTCGCGATGCTTCGGTGCTGATAAAACGGCCGGAATGGATGTCTCAGGCACTCAAGAGAGAAAGAGAAGAGGGGGAAAAAGAGACGGTTACGATTTTCGTTTCTTTTTCCAAAAGGTACACAGAGACAGCGGAATGTTATTACAGGTATTCGAAACGTGGTACCTGTTACGGTTCGATCAATCCGTTTACCTCAGGAGCGAAATGTCTTCGATCATATCGCCTGGCGATTGTAATATTTT